TCCACCTTCCGCTTTCTCCTCCCGTTCGCTTCCCCCCCCCCTCCCCTATCCCCCCTCATCTCTCGCCTCCCCCCCGCCTCCTATCTCCCCCTCACCCCCCCCCCTTCATCGGTCCCCCCCCCCCCTCTCTAAAACAGCCCCACTTGCTGTTTGATTGTGGGTGAACTATCCATCCCAGCAACTTGTAACTCCCAAATGTCAAGGTCTATTTCCTCCCAAACTCCACCAGTGTTCATATTTGGGCATATCGAGTATTCGTGCCAACAGATCCATCATTAGGTTCTTGTGGGTTTTTTCGGGCTATATGGCCATGTTCTAGAGGCATTTCTCCTGACGTTTCGCCTGCATCTATGGCAAGCATCCTCAGAGGTAGTGAGGTCTTGTTTGACTCCGCAGTGCTCTCTATATGTAGATGAACTACAACTCCAAAACTCAAGGTCAATGCCCACCAAACCCTTCCAGTGTGTTCTGTTGGTCAGGGGAGTTCTGTGTGCCAAGTTCTGTAAGTAACATTGCAAGCAGTAGTATGGGTGCCAGAAGGGGAAAAGGGGGTACTCGTGAGCAGGAGTCAGATGAGGAACAACAAAGGAAAAGGATCCAGGATATACTTATGGCACCTACCGATGAAGACTCATTCGAAGGGTTTTCTGGAGATGAAGGGTCAATGAGTGAGGGAGAGGAAGGAGATACAGTGGATGGGAATAGAGGAACAAAGAGGGTTACTCGGGAGCAGGAATCGGATGAAGAGTGTGAGAGGAAGAGGATCCGGGATATACTTACTGCTCCCACAGATGATGAACCATTTACGGGGATTTCTCTGGGAGTGATGGGTCTGGGAGTGATGAGGATGGGGATGACACATTGGACTGGACTAAGGTTAAAGAGGTACAAGATGTATGTGCAGAGCCGACATCTAGTGACACGTTTATGGGTTTCTCTGGTAATGAGGATTGGCAAACAGGAGATACATCTAAGTCTTGGGGGGACCTAAGTCTTGACAGAAGATGGAGGAAATGGAGAGATGGAAACAGGAGTTCACGTGTGGAGACAAGAACAGCTGTAAGAGATAATGACAGGGCGGAGGCCAGCTCATCTTCTGATGATGATGTGTAAGATAAAAGTAGGCTCTGAAATGGGGAATCTTTGCAGAAGGCAAAGTGTTGGCTACGTTCATGTATCGTGTGGTTTTGTCGCTGCCTGTTTTCGTGTTGGGCTTTGGGTCCGGGTTCTGCAGCCTGGAGTTCCTGTTCCTGTGTGCTTGTTCGACTTGGACTGACTTCTCGTGAGTGTGGCTTTCTCCCTTCCTGGATCTCGGACTGGCTTGATGACGACGCTGCTTGACGGACTTGGAAACGGCGTTTCTTTGGACTTCTCCTACAACGACTTCTGGACTTTGGCTGGCTTCGGTTTCTCTTTCAGCCGTTTTGCCTTGCTGTTAACTGTATGAGTGCGGCACTGTTTGTTTGCCGCTAAGTACTGCGTTTAATCTGGTTCTTTTCTCTGGTTAATCCAGATTATATTTCCGTTTGCTTTTTAAGCCAAGTTGGGCTAGTTTTTTGAGTTTTAGCCAGAGGCACAGAGGTTTAAGTCTCTGAGCTTGTTTTCTGTTGCAATAAACTTTACTTTGGAACTAATTCTGAGTCTGGCCCTTTAAGGCGCCTGTGTCTCGACAAGTTCTGTGTGCCAAGTTTGGTTCAATTCCATCGTTGGTGGAGTTCAGAATGCTCTTTGTTTGTAGGTGAACTATAAATCCCAGCAACTACAACTCCCAAATGACAAAATCAATCCTCCCCCCCCCCCCCAACCCCATTGGGGATTTGTGCCAAATTTGGTCCAGTGAATGAAAATACATCCCGCATATCAGATTCATAACAGAAGCAAAATGACAGTTATGAAGTAGCAACGAAAATAATGTTATGGTTGGGGGTCAACACAAATGAGGAACTGTATTAAGTGGTCGTGGCATTAGGACCCTATTCCACGTCAGGCAGAAGCTGAAGCAGTACTCACAAATGTTTCCAGAAGAACATGGCGGATAGATTGGACAATGTCTTGGGTCTCATCACTGGAGAGGTGAACAAAGACCTGCTTCTGAGTTTCAGGATTAGCAAAGAGCAGCGCTGGAAGAGGGACGGCATATTTCTGGGAGCTAGGGAAAATACAAGAGGGGAAATGAGCAATTTCAAAATCACATTTGTCACCAGTGTTTCTGGAGAAGAGATAGAGACTCAACCTGTATCTATATAAATAAAAATGTAATGTTCGTTTGTAGGATTAACATAACTCAAAAACCACTGGACAAATTGACACGAAATTTGGACACAAGACACCAAACAGTCCAACGAGTGTCCATCACCCATAAACACACACACACACACACAACAGACTTAAAAACCCCAAAAATACACCATATATACATACACACATACAATCATATACATATGCTCATATTCATACACACACACACACACACACACATATATATGCACAAACACACACATATACACACATACATACATACATATACATGCACACACATATACATATCCACATACATACATATATACACACAAATATGCATATAGACAAGCACACACATATACACAATATGCATGTACATATATAAACACACATATATACCCACATATATATATAAGCAAACACACATTTATACACAAATATATACACACATACACACAATATGCATGTACATATATAAACACACAAATACACACACACACACACACACATATATACACAAATATATACACACATATACACAATATGCATGTACACATATAAACACACAAATACACAAATATATACACACACATATACACACATATATACACAAATATATACACACATATACACAATATACATGTACACATATAAACACACAAATACACACCCACACACACACACACACACACACATAAAGCAAACACACATATATACACAAATATATACACTCATAGACACAATATGCATGTACACATATAAACAAACAAATACACACACATATACACCCACAAATATACACCCACACACACACACATATATATATGCAAACACACATATATACACAAATATATACACACATATACACAATATGCATGTACACATATAAACACACAAATACACAAATATATACACACACATATACACACATATATACACAAATATATACACACATATACACAATATACATGTACACATATAAACACACAAATATACACCCACACACACACACACACACACACATAAAGCAAACACACATATATACACAAATATATACACTCATAGACACAATATGCATGTACACATATAAACAAACAAATACACACACATATACACCCACAAATATACACCCACACACACACATATATATATATGCAAACACACAAATATACAAAAATATATACACACATATACACAATATGCATGTACACATATAAACACACAAATACACACACACACATATATACACCCACATATACACCCACCCACACACACACACATATATATAAGCAAACACACATATATACACAAATATATACACACATATACACAATATGCACACATACACACACACACACACACACATATATATATATATACATATATATGCAAACATACATATATACACACGAAACACACATACACAGATTGGGCCTCAACGCTTGGAAGTGGATGACTAGTAGTATATAATAGACTAGCTTTGACTCCCTCTACTGTCCGCTGCGGAGTAATCTGAACAATTATTTCTTCCAATTGCTGATATAAGGTAACATAGAGATACAGGATGCTGGAAATTGGCAGTATCTCTTCCTATGAATTTTTTTAAAAAAACTGAACAATAATTACACTCTGTACAAAGGTTGAATGAAAAGTAATGCCTCCACCTTCATTACTTGGGTTAAGATGGGAATATTTTCATAAATCAAACACAGAAATAATCCTTAGAATGTGCTCTTTAACTACCATGTTTAGCCTGAAGAAGAGAAGGCGGAGAGGAGATATGATAGCCATGTATAAATATGTGACATGAAGCCACAGGGAGGAGGAGGGAGCAAGCTTGTTTTCTGCTTCCTTGGAGACTAGGACGCAGGAACAATGGCTTCAAACTACAAGAAAAGAGATTCCATCTGAACATGAGGAAGAACTTCCTGACTGTGAGAGCCGTTCAGCAGTGGAACTCTCTGCCCCGGAGTGTGGTGGAGGCTCCTTCTTTGGAAGCTTTTAAACAGAGGCTGGATGGCCATCTGTCAGGGGTATTTGAATGCAATATTCCTGCTTCTTGGCAGGGGGTTGGACTGGATGGCCCACGAGGTCTCTTCCAACTCTTTGATTCTATGATTCTGTGACATTCAGGGGGGCTCAACAATGATCAAGGGTCTAGAAAACAAGCCCTATGAGGAGCGGCTTAAGGAGCTGGGCATGTTTAGCCTGAAGAAGAGAAGGCTGAGAGGAGATATGATAGCCATGTCTAAATATGTGAGAGGAAGCCACAGGGAGGAGGGAGCAAGCTTGTTTTCTGCTTCCTTGGAGACTAGGACGCAGGAACAATGGCTTCAAACTACAAGAGAGGAGATTCCTTCTGAACATGAGGAAGAACTTCCTGACTGTGAGAGCCGTTCAGCAGTGGAACTCTCTGCCCCGGAGTGTGGTGGAGGCTCCTTCTTTGGAAGCTTTTAAACAGAGGCTGGATGGCCATCTGTCAGGGGTGATTTGAATGCAATATTCCTGTTTCTTGGAAGAATGGGGTTGGACTGGGTGGCCCATGAGGTCTCTTCCAACTCTTTAACTACCACTATTCACTTTTCCACATAATCATCCAGACAATTGGATACATTTCTGCCAACAATGAACAAGTTTTCTGAAGCCGTCACGGAAGAAGTCGACACTCTGTTTCCGCAACCAGCATCTCACAGTTCTCTCAACGTCTTCATCAGAAGCATAATGATGTCCCCGCAGATCTTCTTTCATTATCGGGAACAGATGGAAGTCAGACGGTGCTAAATCTGGACTGTATGGAGGATGTCATACGGTATATTATTTATTTATTTGTCGTGTCAGAGCAACCAGTCCATTATATTACATTTCTAACAGAACAAAGCAAACAAACAGACAAATACAAAACTTGTGAGTTTGGTAGTTGGTTAAATGTCCTTTGACCAGTATCTGGCCACTTGGAGTGCCTCTGGTGTTGCTGCAAGAAGGTCCTCCATTGTGCATGTAGCAGGGCTCAGGTTGCATTGCAGCAGGTGGTCAGTGGTTTGCTCTTCTCCACACTCGCATGTCGTGGATTCCACTTTGTAGCCCCATTTCTTAAGGTTGGCTCTGCATCTCGTGGTGCCAGAGCGCAGTCTGTTCAGCGCCTTCCAAGTCGCCCAGTTTTCTGTGTGCCCAGGGGGGAGTCTCTCATTTGGTATCAGCCATTGATTGAGGTTATGGGTTTGAGCCTGCCACTTTTGGACTCTCGCTTGCTGGGGTGTTCCAGCGAGTGTCTCTGTAGATCTTAGAAAACTATTTCTTGATTTAAGTCGTTGACATGCTGGCTAATACCCAAACAAGGGATGAGCTGGAGTCTCTGAAGTTTCAAGTCTGTGTGCTTTCATTTCAGGCATCAGCATCCTGGGTACCCATCGTGCACAGATCTTCTGATAGCCAAGCAAAGCAATAATGGGACCACACGTTCTTGTGAAATGCCGATTATGCTTGAAATTTCTCTCTGAGTGATACGACGATCATCCTGAATCAATCTGTCAACCTTTTGCTTGTGAAACTCGGTGGTTGCTGTCACAGGACGTCCAACTCTTTGTTTGTCACGCAAGTCAGATGTTCCCCACCTCAACATCTTTAAACTTACTCGCCCAATGACGCACAGTACTCACATCAACACAATCACCATAAACAGCTTGTATTCTCTGATGAATCTCCTTTGGGGTGACACCTTCTGCTGTCAAGAATTCAATGATTGCACGTTGCTTAAGTCGCATTGACCAACCGTCTGCGCAGGGTTCCATACTTCACACAACACAACCGTTCAATGCTAAGGCTTCCTGCCAAAATGAAACTGTAGAGGAGAGTCTACTGAACAAGCCAGTACCTGCTGCATACCAGTACTGCAATCTGTTGAGGAGGAGTTACGAATGTGGAGGCATTACTTTTCATTCCACCCTCATGATGTAACCAAACGTTCAACAAATTTAAACGTCTTTCAATGGCTAAGGCTCGCCACCCGAATGAAACTGTAGAGGAGAGGTCTACCTAGAGTATCAAAGCCGCTACCAGCTGCCACATACGTGTTGTCCATGGAAGTTCCATTGACAACCGACATACCTGCGTGCAACTTCATTTTAATAAATTGGTTTCCACATACTTCGCACTTTAAAGCACACAAAGTCGTCATGCTAAGTCTTCCCGCACAAAATGGAATAGTATAGAGGACGAAAAGGTGGCACCTTCTGCTGTCAAGAATTCAATGACTGCACGTGTTGCTTAAGTCGCATTGACCGACCGTCTGCGCAGGGTTCCATACTTTGTACTTTAACAACACAACTGTTCAATGCTAAGGCTTCCCAAAATGGAACTGTAGAGGAGAGTCTACTGAACAAGCCAGTACCTGCCACATACGTTGCTTAAGTCACATTGACTGACCGTCTGCACAGGGTTCCATTTCGTACTTTAAGAACACAATCATTCAATGCTAAGTCTTCCCGCCAAAATGGAACTGTAGAGGAGAGTCTACTGAACATGCCAGTACCTGCCACATGCGTTGCTTAAGTCACATTGACCAACCATCTGTGCAGGGTTCCATACTTCGCACTTTAACAACACAACCGTTCAATGCTAAGTCTTCCCGCCAAAATGGAACTGTAGAGGAGAGTCTACTGAACAAGCCAGTACCTGCCACATACGTTGCTTAAGTCGCATTGACTGACCGTCTGCGCAGGGTTCCATACTTCGCACTTTAACAACATAAGTCGCATTGACCGATCGTCTGCGCAGGGTTCCATACTTGGCACTTAAACAACACAACTGTTCAATGCTAAGGCTTCCCACCAAAATGGAACTGTAGAGGAGAGTCTACTGAACAAGCCAGTACCTGTCTTGTTCAGTACTGTAGAGGAGAGTCTACTGAACAAGCATACCAGTACTGTCATCTGTTGAGAAGGTGGAGGCATTACTTTTCATTCAACCTTCATAATGACAATCCCCAGCAATAGCTGCAACTTTTTATTCCCATCTTCCAAATCAAAGACATATCAGATTTTTTTAAAGTTTTTTTTCTCTTTTTCTTTTATTCCCATCTTCCAAATCAAAGACATATCAGATTTTTAAAAAGTCCTGACGACGTGGGTTGAAATCCCTTAAAACTCATGCTAGAAGAAATCAGGTGTTTGTACATGTGGGAAAGCAGAGTGAACTCTGAAAACGCTCATGCTAAAGTCAGCTAGATAGCCTTAAAGTATTGCTAGATTGATTCCCTCTTTAGAAAAATCCAAGGAAATCAAACAAAAAACATACAGAGTGGCAGCATCTTCTTCATAGTAGATCCCAATGATGACGGTTCCTTCCAGCACTTTGGCAGCTTCAACGAAGGCCTCTCTCGCTGTCAAAACAGAAACAAACCAGACTATGAAATACGGCAAATTAAAAAACTACAACTGCCGCGATTCCATAGCATTAGAGCTGTGGCAGTTAAAGGCAGTGTAAAACTGCATTCATTCTACAGTGTTGACAGCCCCTGAGAGAGAAGGCTGCCTAATGCAACAAGAGAACACAATTTTATTTATTTCTCCTTACGAACAAACTAGCTGTACACGCCACACGTTGCTGTGGCCAACCTTCCCTCTGTCTTTCTCTCCTTCTTTCTTTCTCTCCTTCCTTCCCTCCCTCTTTCCTTCCTTCCCTCTTTTTGTTTCCCTTCTTCTTTCTTCCTTCTCTACCTGTTTCTTTTCTTGCTTCTTTTGCTCTTTGGTTCCATCCTTCCTTGTCTCTTTCCTTCCTTCCTTCTTTCTCTCTTTCGTTCCTTCTCTCCTTCCTTTCCTCTTTCACTTTTTTATTTCCTTCTCTCCTTCCTTCCTTCTCTACCTTTCTTTCTTCCCTCCCTCCCTCTTTCTCTCTTTCCTTCCTTCTCTCCTTCCTTCCCTCTTTCACGTTGTTATTTCCTTCTCTCCTTCCTTCCTTCTCTACCTTTCTTTCTTCCCTCCCTCCCTCTTTCTCTCTTTCCTTCCTTCTCTCCTTCCTTCCCTCTTTCACGTTGTTATTTCCTTCTCTCCTTCCTTCCTTCTCTACCTTTCTTTCTTCCCTCCCTCCCTCTTTCTCTCTTTCCTTCCTTCTCTCCTTCCTTCCCTCTTTCACGTTGTTATTTCCTTCTCTCCTTCCTTCCTTCTCGACCTTTCTTTCTCTCCTTCCTTCCCTCTTTCATTTTGTTATTTCCTTCTCTCCTTCCTTCCTTCTCTACCTTTCTTTCTTCCCTCCCTCCCTCTTTCTCTCTTTCCTTCCTTCCTTCCTTCTTCTCTCTTTCTCTTTTCTTCCTTCTCTCTTCTTTCCTTTCTTCTCTTCTCTCCTTTTCTCTTCTTCTTTCCTTCCTCCTCTTTCCCTCTTTCTCTCCCTTCTCTCTTCTTCTCTCTCTTTCTTTCCTTCTCTCCTTCTTTCCTCTTTCTTCTTCTCTCTCTCCTTCCTTCTTCTCTCTCTTCTTTCCTTTCTCCTTCTTTCTCTTTCTTCTTTCCTCTCTCCTTCTTCCTCTTCTCCCTCCTTCTCCTCCTTCCCCCTTTCTGTGTATATGTGTTTTGTGTGTGCATATATGTCTGTATATAGTTTGTATATATATTGTGTATTGTGTATATATGTGGTTTGCATGTATATATGTGGTTTTGTGCATTGTAATGTATTTTTGTTTTTTGGCTTTTTAAGTCTCTTCTGCTGGTTTTTCAGTGTTTTTATGAGTGAGTCATTCGTTGGCCTGATAGTCGTGTCCAAATTTGGTGTCAATTCGTCAGTGGTTTTTGAGTTATGTTAATCCCACAAACAAACATTACATTTTTATTTACAGTATTTTCCGTCCCTGCCACATGTTGCTGTGGCCCACTCTGTGTATATATGTGTATATGTGTTTGTATATTTGTGTATATGTATATATATGGGTGTTTTTGTATTTATATGTGGTTTTGCTCATGCATTGTAATGTATTTATTTATTTATTTATTGCTTTTTAAGTCTCATTACATTTTTATTTATATATATATTAATTTGGTTATTCTGGATGCAAATAAAGAGCCACCTAAAGAGACACAGAGCAGTTGTCGGAGCCAAAATTCAAAAAATTTTCTCCTGACGTTTCGCCAAGCCATTAAATGCTAATCAAGGTGGTCAGTTGAAACATGTTGGAAGTTCCTACTTCCAACAGACCTCACTCCCTCTGAGGATGCTTGCCATAGATGCAGGCAAAACGTCAGGAGAGAATGCCTCTAGACAATGGCCATATAGCCCGAAAAAACCTACAACAACCCAGTGATCCCGACCATGAAAGCCTTCGACGATTTTGGGTCTAATTTCACTAGATATCTACACACACAACATGCATACATAAAGGCATATCCACCCTCTGCAAAACATCTGGCGTCTAACCAAAGACAAGGCCTCACCTTGTGTCATACTTGGATCAAACAGTCCCAAGACGGCAGCATGATGGTACGGCAGGAGCTTGAAGCTTAAATATTCTTCCACTTCCTTTGGAGACATCAGCCTCATTGGACAAGGGATTTCGCTTCTGGGGGGAGAAGTCGAGAGCACGCAGAAGACTTCAGATTTACATACAAAGCGTATTTCGTGCATTACAATCTCTTACAATTGGGGCACCTCCATTCAGCACAGTCCCAAGGTGTTTCGTTGGTGGTATATCATTAGCATCTTTCACGACAATAACAGAGGACACAAAGGGGTATACGGTCAGCCCTCTACATTTGAGAGTGAACTTTTTGAGGATTTGATTACACAATGTAACAAAATTTGAAAAACTTTCTGTTCCTGGTTTGAATGTGTTGTTTCCTGTTTAATTGTGCAGTCGTTATTTTGAAAGCCACTTTGAGTCGCCTTTGGGCTGAGAAAGGCAGGATAGAAATCTATATAAATAAAAACGTAATGTTCGTTTGTGGGATTAACAGAACTCAAAAACTAATGGGCGAATTGACACCAAATTTGGACACAAGGCACCTATCAGGCCAATGAGTGACCCTCACTCATAAAAACACACAAATTAACCCAGCAGAATAGACTTTAAAACCTCCCAAAATAAAACATATATACATATACACATACATTCATATACATATACACATGCAAACATGCATACAGGCGCGCACACACACACACACACATATATACACACAAGCACACAGAAATATACACATACACACACACATACATACACACATACATACACACATATACACACACATATATGAATATACGCAAGCACACACATATACACAATATACATATACACATACATTCATATACATATACACATGCACACATACATACAGACACACACATGTATATACACAAGCATACACAATGTCAATAAAATTGATTTTGTCATTTGGGAGTTGTAGTTGCTGGGATTTATAGTTCACCTACAATCAACGAGCATTCTGAACCCTACCGATGATGGAACTGAACCAAACTTGGCACACAGAACTCCCACAACCAACATAAATTCTGGAAGGGTTTGGTGGGCAATGACCTTGAGTTTGGGAGTTGTAGTTCACCTACATCCAGAGAGCACTGTGGACTCAAACAATGATGGATCTGGACCAAACTTGGCACGAATATTCCAATATGTACACAAAACACATATACACAGACTGGGCCACAGCAACGTGTGGCAGGGGACGGCTAGAACTGTAAATAAAAATGTCCAAGCCCCTGCCAAGAAGCAGGAATATTGCATTCAAATCACCCACGACAGATGGCCATCCAGCCTCTGTTTAAAAGCTTCCAAAGAAGGAGCCTCCACCACACTCCGGGGCAGAGAGTTCCACTGCTGAACGGCTCTCACAGTCAGGAAGTTCTTCCTCATGTTCAGATGGAATCTCCTTTCTTGTAGTTTGAAGCCGTTGTTCCATTGCGTCCTAGTCTCCAGAGAAGCAGAAAACAAGTTTGCTCCCTCCTCCCTGTGGCTTCCTCTCGTTTCTGGGATTAACATAACTCAAAAACCACAGGACAAATTGACACCAAATTTGGACACAAGACACCTATCAGGCCAACGAGTGACCATCACTCATAAAAACACTGAAAAACACAGATTAAAGGGACATAAAAAGCAAAAAAATAAAAGAATACATTACAATGCATGAGCAAAAACACATATAAATAAAAACACCCATATATACACATATACACAAATATACAAACACATATACACATATATACTAGGCTTGGGCAATCCATGGTTCTAAATGGTTCTAAAGTACTTACAAAACTAAAGTTCTGGTGGTGAAAATTTCAGAACTCTAACAAAACTTTCAAAATGTAATTATTATTTCATTATTGGCGATTTTTATGACAGAACCAATTAGGAACTGCCATTTATAATGAAATTTTGAGAGTTTTGTTAGAGTTTTGAAATTTTCATCACCAGAACTTTAGTTTTGTAAGTACTTTAGAACCATTTAGAAACATGGATTGCCCAAGCCTAATATATACACAGAGTGGGCCACAGCAACGCACGGCAGGGGACAGCCACTACTGTAAATAAAAATGTCATGTTCGTTTGTGGGATTAACATAACTCAAGAACCACTGGACAAATTGACACCAAATTTGGACACAATACACCCATCAGGCCAACGAGTGACCATCACTCATAAAACACCGAAAAACACATCAGAAGAGACTTAAAAAACCAATCCCCGCCCCCAACCCTATCAGTATTAAAATTTGGGCATATTGGGTATTTGTGCCAAACTTGGTTCAGTGAATGAAAATACATCCTACATATCAGATATTTAGATTATGATTCATAACATTAGCAAAATTACAATTATTAAGTAGCAACAAAAATAATGTTGTGGTTGGGGGTCACCACAACATGAGGAACTGCATTAAGGGGTCGCAGCATTTGGAAGGTTGAGAACCACTGCAACAGAGCAATGGCTTCAAACTACAGGAAGGAAAGGAGATTCCACCTGAACATGAGGAAGAACTTCCTGACTGTGAGAGTTGTTCACCAGTGGAACTCTCTGCCCCAGAGTGTGGTGGAGGCTCTTCCTTTGGAGACTTTTAATCAGAGGCTGGATGGCCATCTGTTGGGGGTGCTTTGAATGCAATTGTCCTGCTTCTTGGCAGAATGGGGTTGGACTGGATGGCCTACAAGGTCACTTACAGCTCTATGATTCTATAAGTTGCCTTATCATCTTCAAAATCGTCTCCCATCCAGCAAATGTATACTCACAGCTCTATGAATCTGCGCATCTCCAGGGTCCCCCACATCCCTGAATACGTCATCCACCTCTGTTCTTTTGTAAACACCTTGAGGGTAGGGAATTGGGTGGCATTCTGCTGCGCGCAAACGTGCGGCCAATCCCAACAGTTGACCCTCGCAAGAGAGATATCGGAAGATCCTGCAAAATATTCATAGGGAAAGTAATAGAGAGAAGGAAGTTACAAATGTCTGCTGTCACTCTGTCTGTGCTGTCGCACGCTGGGCCTGTGCATAAAACTGTAGACAGGACATAAATTCTGTGTGCCCAACGGGACACCGGGGCTGCCTCAGATTAAAGGCCCTTGGATTTCCTTAAAACAGAGTCTTTAGATTGCTTAAAGGTTTAACAAAGTTCTTTATTAATGAAAACAAACAGGTACTTTAAGGCTTTCTTAACAGTCTATTCTCTCTCTCAATCTTGTCCACAGGGAACAGGCACTATCTTCATAACTGTAACTAATGGGGAAATCCTTAACTTCTAATCTGGGCAGTCTGTCTTTGCCTCTGTTGGCATGGAGCCCCTGCACCCGGTACCAACTGCGTCTGGCTTCCGCGAGTGACCCTTACCAAGCAGAGCTTTGTAGACTTCCAGGGGAAAAGGAGTTCAGGTTTCAGTGATGGCTGGCTGAAGTCCCTCAGCAAAGGAGCTGTAAAGCTGTATAATCCTCGGCCAAGCTACAGGACGTTTCTCCCTGGCCAAGCTGTAGAAGACGAAGCTTTCTACAGGAGCTCTTGTTATTATGTCCTGCATGAAAGGCTTCTCTGTGTGGACTGAACCCAAAATGGCTCCTATTCCCTCCAAAACCCAAAAAGGGGGTGGGACCAGGGAACCTAACTATAATTGACAGGTGGCTTGCCCTATGATTGCAGCCAAAAGAAGCCACCTATCTGCAGAGTTCCTGAAACTTAGGACTATAACAAACATTAAATGCAAAGCAAACAAAATTGAGCTCCTGGTACAGCTGTACCTGCACACTGTCCAAGGCAAAGCCAAGGTGCATTTAACTCAGACTTGGGCCAACTTCGGCCTTCCCTCCAGGTGTTTTGGATTTCAACTCCCACAATTCCTAACAGCCAGTAGGCTGTTAGGAATTGTGGGAGTTGAAGTCCAAAACGCCTGGAGGGAAGGCCAAAGTTGGCCCAGGCCTGGTATAAACATACCCTAAAAGGTGCATTATTTTCTCATTGAGGTATCCCTCTGATGCACATGGGGATATGTTCCAAAACTTATAACAAATGGAAAACCAAATCCATACCTCTTTCACTAAGAGTTATAGCCCCCAGGCGCGACGGCACAAAACAAACACATGAATGAATTCCTATGCACACTGCACATATCTTATTTGTAGTGCAAAAACACTTTTAAAAACAATAATTAAAATGAAGAACAATTTTAACAAATATAAACTTATTAGTATTTCAATGGGAAGTGTGGGCCTGCTTTTGGCTGATGAGATAGGATTGTTGTTGTTGTTGTGTGCTTTCAAGTCGTTTCAGACTTAGGTTGACCCTGAGCGAGGGCCGGGTAAATGACCTTGGAGGGCTGTATCTGGCCCCTGGGCAATAGTTTGAGGACCCCTGTTCTAGGTCATACTCCAGATCAAAAGGAACTGGAATGTTTCTGGAGGCTGAGTAATGAGCCTTTTCTTATTAGTTCACTTGTCCAGAACTAAAAACAGACACTTCTGGGACCAATTTAGCCCTTTCTCGAAATGCCACCCAACGTTTGTGCCAAGAGACAAACCCACTCCAAACTTGGCTCAAGTTGGCACTCAAGGAGAACCATTCCAGTAAAGAAAAGTCATGGTACCAGGAAAAAAAGGGTCATACATAAATACAACCTGACACTTAAATTAAGCCAATTATACACGTAAAATAATTGGGAAGAAAGGAAACTGCATTACATTACAGGAACAAAGGTTTGATGTTTCCTGTTAAGGAGAGCCCATGTAGTGCAGCGGTTTAAGAACAGCATGAGGACTATAGGTTTTTAATATTTTCATGGCTCTAATCTGAATTGTTTGTAATACTGTTTTAATATTTGTATATTTTAAACTGTATTGTAATGTTTTTGGTTTTAGCTGCTTTGAGTCTCCTGATAGAAAGAAAAAGCAGGATATAAAGAAACATAATAATAATAATAATAATAATAATAATAATAATAATAATAATATATTGTCGAAGGCTTTCATGGCCAGAATCACTGGGCTGTTGTAGGTTTTTTCAGGCTATATGGCCATGTTTTAGAGGAAAGATATTGTATAGTGTGTATCTGATCTTGAAGGAGCCCCCGGTGGCGCAGTGGGTTAAAGCACTGAGCTGCTGAGCTTGTTGATCGAAAGGTCGCAGGTTCGATTCGGGGAGTGGCGTGAGCTTCCGCTGTCAGCCCTAACTTGTGCCAAACTAGCAGTTCGAAAACATGCAAGGTAACGGCGCTCCATGCAGTCATGCCGGCCACATGACCTTGGAGGTGTCTACGGACAACGCTGGCTCTTCGGCTTAGAAATGGAGATGAGCACCACACCCCAGAGTCAGACATGACTGGACTTAATGTCAGGGGACTACCTTTTTTAATCTGTGAGGAAGCCCAGTAATTCTCAGCATCAATTTAGGAGCTGTTTTACAAAGAAGGATTTACTTATTTGATAGCGTAGCGTTTACTGTCCCTGGTTTGGTTTTACTTCTTATGCAGGCTGTTTGACTTAGGAGAAACTGTATCAGGCAAGGCTTGAGGAAAACAGTAACAAATTTATTTAACAGGAGTATAACATATTCAATTGTTTCTTCACAAGAGGCACAAATCTTGATTGGTTACATTAGTAAGGTTTCATGAGTAACTTTAGGTACAGACTTTAAGAGGTTTCTGTAAGCAGATGTATCTTTCCTGGACAACTGTCCTAATAAAACAAATAAGCTAAAAGGCTTATTTAACAGAATTGGCTCCCAGCCAAACCCTGATTCTTAACCCAGAATCAATAACCCCCTGTAGTTTTATCACTACCGGGTTCTTTCCTGTAACCCCTTTGGTCACAAATTAATTCCCTGAATCTCCACCCAGAGATTCAGTCTTCCCTGTAACTCTACCGGTCACAGACTGCCACTTTCAAACAGCTGCCCCGTGAAGTGACAGTTGGCTCCGCCCCCGTTGCTATGGCAACTCTGCTCAAGCCAAACCAGCCACTATCTCTAACAAAATATAATCCTACATACTTACCATTTATTAACTACTGTTTAAACAACATATAACCATGAGAATAAAAGTTACCAAAGGCTTTCATGGTCAGAATCACTGGGTTGTTGTAGGTTTTTTTCAGGCTATATGGCCATGTTTTAGAGGCATTCTCTCCTGATGTTTCATCTGCATCTATGGCAAGTTGCCATAGATGCAGGTGAAACATCAGGAGAGAATGCCTCTAAAACATGGCCATATAGCCCGAAAAAACCCACAACAACCCAATAATAATAATAATAATAATAGGAGACCAGGGTTTGAATCCACTGAGTAATTTGGAGCAGAGCACACTCTCTCAGCCTCAAAGAAATATATATATATATATATTATTAATTTTATTTAATTTTATTATTATTATTATTATTATTATTATTATTTGCTATTTTGTTTATTAAGTTGTAATTGGTTGTTCTATATTGTCTAATGTGCCTTGTCTTGATGTAAATTGTTTGCATTGTTTTTCCTTTTGGCATTCAATGTTTACCATATTTGTTGGTAAATGCTCTGAGTCCCTTCGGGGAGTTAGAGAATATTATAAATAAAGATTATTATTATTATTATTATTATTATTATTAAAAATATACTCTAATAAGCTCAATTCAAGGAGCTGGCGTTGAACTACTTGTTTGAAATTGCCATTTTTAACTGGCTTCTGATGTTTAAAGAGTATTTTTTAAATGGTACCTGTTGTATTTATTATGCTTGTTTATATGGTTTTCGTAATGTGCTATTTATTTGTTTGTTTCATTTGGGGTCATGTTGTGCTTTTTGTGTCATGTAATTTCTATTGTATTAACCATTGTTTGCCACTTTGAATCCCACTCATGGGAGAAAAGTAGGATAAAAATAAATAAATAATGATAATAATGGGCAAGGAGCACAAGACTCCTGACCTCATGATCGTGGAAGAAAGAAAAAAGCATGGATTGTCGATGTTGCAATCCTTGGAGACAGCAGGATTGAAGAGAAGCAACTGGAAAAGTTTACATGATATGAGGATTTATAGATAGAACTGCAAAGACTTTGGCACAAGCCAGTCAAGGTGGTCCCACTGGTGATCGGTACACTGGGTGCTGTGCTTAAGGATATTGGCCTGCACTTAAACTCAATTGGCGCTGACAAAATTACCACTTGTCCGCTGCAAAAGGCCACCCTACTCAGATCTGCACGCATTATTCATGCAGTCCTAGACACTTGGGAAGTGTTCAACGTGGGATCAAATATAAAAGCCAGCATAGTGATCTTGTTTGCGGTGTACTCATTTTGTTGTGTTTCAAATATTAATAATATTTTATTATGTTATCATCCCAATATTCTTTTAATTTGTTCTCATTGTTTCATTGCCTTGAGAGCCCTTGTGGGCAGAGAGGCAATTCAGAAATACTTGAAGTTTGAAACACAAAAAAGATTAGTACACAGCAAACAAGGTCACTCTACTGGCTGTTGAATTGGATCACACGTCGGAGACTTCCCAAGTGTCTAGGACTGTGTGCTGTATTGGCAAATAATGCATGCAAATCCCAGTAGGGTGGCCTTCTGCAGCTGGCAGATGGCAATCCTGTCAGCACCGATTATGCTTAAGTGCAGGCCAAGGTCTTTAGGCACTGCACCCAGTGTGCCAATCAGCACTGGGACCACCTTGACTGGCTTGTGCCAGAGTCTTTGCAGTTCTATCTTTAAATCCTCATATCGTGTCATTGTTGTTGTTGTTGTTGTTGTTGTTATTATTTTATTTATTTATACCCCACTTTATCTCTCCCGAAAGAGGCTTAAAGTGGCTTAACATTAAAGCATTAGCACACTATTTAAAATATACAAAATGCAAACATTAAAACAGAATTAAATGTAAAAATTATTTTAAAAATCACAGTTAAAAGCCATTAAAATGTATTCAAAGTTAAAGTGGTGTCAAACTGCATTCATCCTGCAGTGTAAGCGCACCCTTAGAGGGGACCGAGCCTATGTACTATGTCTTACTTCCGTGTCTGTTTACAAGGTCATCGCCCCATTGCAACTGCAGGCAAAACCAGTTGCAGGCACTGAAACATCTGTTCCTTGTTTCTGCCTTTTCTAATTCTCTTGCATTGATTACAGAGGCTGAAGTTGCTTCCATGACAAATGGCCCTTTTGCGGCTTTCCTGCACTGTGTCAAACCAACAGTGGATGTGTAGAAGCCGTGGACAAAGCTCTCTCAATCCACTTGGTGATGTCAGTCAGCCGGGAAAACAGAGTTCCTGGAACCTCCAACGTAAACACTCCAGAGTCCTTTGGACTATTATTTAACTAATCCGAGAAGCAGCCTTCCAGCTGCAGCCGCACATCCATCACTGCGATGTGTGTGTTTCGCAGTCTTTCCAAACCAAACTGGAGGGTTTTCATGCAAAGTGGGGAAAAGCACACTCTTCTGGAGGACCTCCGGAGACACACTTAGGGGCTTGCAAGGCATCTGCCTTCTTGTTCTTAGAATCCTAGAGTTGCGAAAGACCCCCTTTGTTTGAAAACCTTCTCTAGAGGTTTTCAAACAAAGCCTGTATGGCCATCTGTCAGGAAGGCTTAAATTGTGTATCGTAGAATGGGGTTGGACTTGGATGGTCCTTGTGCTCTTTGTTATGAGTAGGTAAATAAGTTGAGAACAATTGCCCTGAGAGTTCCTGAGAGCCTTCATTGCAGTAGGCTTTAAAGATGATATGTAAACTACAGACACTCCATTCCCTAAAAAGTTCATATATACATATACCTCTTTGCAAGTTCAGACTAAAACCCAAAGCAGACTTGCATATACACACACTTAACCTACCTGCATCAATTGAGATTCTAAATGGGAAACAGATAGATATTCCTTGAAGAAGTACACCAGAAATGATTAAAATAATAACTCGGAGTCGTACCTTTCAGCTGAGCTGCCACCTCAACGTAGGTCTGCATTACAACCAGGGAAACAGCATCCCCTGCAGCGCAAATGAAGAAATACAGGGTTAGTCAAAATGAATAGGCCAATAAGAAAATTAATTTTAGACGAATGTATGTTTACTGTAACCAAACCACAGCTACGTAGCGACAGATAAACTATCAAAGTTTTTTTTGAGCAACACACATGTACGTTAATGCCGCTAGGCGTCGCTAGGGGTCGCTGTTTTCAAAATGGCGGAATCAAGCAAAGAGAAGGCGTTTTGTGTGATGACATTTGCTAAAACAATGTCAGTAATTACGGTCCAGCGAGAATTTCAAGGGTTAGGGTTAGGGTTAGGGTTAGGGTTAGGGTTAGGGATAGGGTTAGGGTTAGGGTTAGGGTTAGGGATAGGGTTAGGGTTAGGGTTAGGGTTAGGGTTAGGGTAGGGTTAGGGTTAGGGTTAGGAGGGATAGGGTTAGGGTTAGGGTTAGGGTTAGGGTTAGGGTAGGGTAGGGTTAGGGTTAGGGATAGGGTTAGGGTTAGGGATAGGGTTAGGGTTAGGGATAGGGTTAGGGTTAGGGTTAGGGTTAGGGTTAGGGTTAGGGTTAGGGTTAGGGTTAGGGTTAGGGTGTAGGGTTAGGGTTAGGGTTAGGGTTAGGGTTAGGGATAGGGTTAGGGTTAGGGTTAGGGTTAGGGTTAGGGGTAGGGTTAGGGTTAGGGTTAGGGTTAGGGTAGGGTTAGGGTTAGGGTTAGGGTTAGGACCTCAACGAACACCTTCCCAGACGTTGCTGCATTCGATGCCATTACGTCGGATGTGCTGCAACGGATGTGGAATGAACTGGACTATCGCTTGGACATCTGCCGTGTCACACGGGGCGCCCATATCGAACATCTCTGAAGGTGAGACAAAACTTTGATAGTTTATCTGTCGCTACGTAGCTGTGGTTTGGTTACAGTAAACATACATTTGTCTAAAATTAATTTTCTTATTGGCCTATTCATTTTGACTAACCCTGTATTTTATTTTAGGTGCTTTGAGGTTTCTTTGGCTATCAACCAAAATTCTGCATGAAGGCACACCAAACTCCTCACCAAACCCCCTCTCCACTGCATTTTGCCTGCAGTATAATATTTTGCAAATCAAGACTATGCAAAATTAAATCTACATAATAAATCTAGTGGAGTCTCTTTCTTTGAAGTTTTTGAAACAGAGGCTAGATGGACATCGGTCGAGAGGGCTTGGACTGTGCCTTTCTGCATAAGAGAATGGGATTGGTGTATCTTTCAATTCTAAGATCTGAATCACAATGACATCACGTGTTTAATTATCTTTCTGTCCTTCTCTCTCCTCTTTTGGAGGACTTTAAATAGAAGTTGGATGGTCATCTTTCAGGAGGGCTTGGATGGTGTCTTCCTCCATGACAGAATGGCCCTTGTGGGTCCCTTCTAGTTCACGGATTCTATTGCAACAAATGCCTGTCCTGCCTCCTCTTCCTCCCATCATCTGTCTAGCTCAGGTATGGGCAAACTTGGGCCCTGCAGGTGTTTTGGACTCCAACTCCCACCATTCCTAACAGCCTCAGGCCCTTCCTTTTCCCCCTCAGCCGCTTAAGCGGCTGAGGGGGAAAAGGAAGGGGCCTGAGGCTGTTAGGAATGATGGGAGTTGCAATCCAAAACACCTGGAGGGCCCAAGTTTGCCCATACCTGTCTTAGCCCATTATGGCCAAAGTGCGTACAGCTTTTGGGTCCCAAAGTATGCTCTTTGAAGCTTCCTAAAGTCCCCATTCCCAAATATATTTCAGGTAAGGGAACGAGCCAAACTGGCTAATGAAACTCGTTGGAAACTTGCTAGTTTATTTTTGGACTTACAGCTGGCATAAAAAAGCACTGCAATGGGTTTGGCCTTTGTGAGCATGGAGCCAAAGGATTCCTCCGTCAAAGTCTGGATGTTTTCGAAGGAGAGTTGGTTTTTCCGGTCTCTGATGATGGATTCCACCACTTGATCATCCTCGATCTCTGAGGGACACAAACACAAAGCCCACTGACACTCAAATATCCTCCTCAAATTAAGGAGGAAGTATTTATTTATTTATTTATTTATTTATTTGCAGCTTTTATCTTCCACCTTCTTCTCAGGGCGGATTACAGTGTACACATATATGGCAAACATTCAATGCCAATTTTTGACATACAAACATATACAGACATACACAGAGGCTATTTAACTTTTTCTGGCTGCCAGGGGAGCTGTCGCTTTCATCGTCCATTGCGACGCTGATGAAGCACTTCCGCATTCCCCGCATGCTTCCCCGCTGGAATGCTTTGCTGGAGTCTTCTTTATGGCCTCAATCTAACCCAGAGCTGGGGAGGCTGTGCTGAACAAGGATTTAAAGGACTACGGCTGAACTAAGATGGCTCACTTACCTTGTTCCGCATACTCTTCATCTTCGTACTCCTCTTCGTACTCCTCCTCTTCCTCCAACGGTTTCGTATCCCCTTCCACCAAGGCGACAATCTCGTCTATGTCTTTCAAAACCAGGTACTGAATAGGGATGCCCTACAGAGAGGCCAAAGAGGGAAATCAGAGCATCATAACAACCTTCTTAAAGATACTTAAAAATAAATAAAAGGAGAAAAGCTTTAGTAAAAAGCACAGCCACAAATTACTGTGGAATCTGACCGCTTTTCTAAAGTTACAACATTGAAAGATTGTGCATTTGAACATTTTGCATTCATTATTCCCATTTGTTCCAAGACACTCTTCGCCGTGCCTTTCATCAATGGTCAAACTATTAAAACACTGTCTCATTCTCACATTTATTTATTTACTTACTTACTTACTTACTTTATTTATATACCGCTTTTCTCAGCCCTCAGGGGACTCAAAGTGGTTAACAACAGCAAAATTCAATGCAAAAACATCACAAAACGAATATGGGACAGTTAATAACAGTAGCATCATCAACGATTAAACATCAATATAACAATCATTAGCGTCTCATCAGTAAAATCAGAATCCAATCTCATCATCCATTATTCCATATTCCTATATTCAATTACACTACTTAATCGAATGCTTGTTCGAACAGGCAGGTCTTCACTTTCCTCTGAAACGCCAACAGGAAGGGGGCCGATCTGATATCTGTAGGAAGGGCATTTTACAGCTGAGGGGCCACCACTGAGAAGGCCCGCCAAATGTACTTGTGATGAAGGCGGTAACGAAAGCAGGGCCTCCCCAGATGATCTTAAGGTCCTAGATGATTCATAAGGGGAGATGTGTTCGGACATGTAAGTTGGGCCAGAACTGTTTAGGCCTTTATAGGCTAAAGCCAGCACTTGAATTGTGCCCGGTAGCAACTGGCAGCCAGTGGAGCTGACGCATCAGAGGAGTTGTGTGCTCCCTGAGTGCCGCTCCTGTTAACAACCTGGCTGCCGAACGCTGGACCATTTGAAGCTTACGAGCAGTCTTCAAAGGCAACCCCACGTAGAGAGCGTTGCAGTAGTCTATCCGGGATGTAACATTTCCACCTTTCACAGGAGAAAGACCTTGATCTGCAAGCCATTTCCCAAAATTCTACATTTTGAATCTAAGATGCAGGTTGAGTCTCCTTGAGAGACAGAAAGCTGGATATAAATACTACTACTGCTACCAATAATAATAATAATAATAATAATAATTATTATTATTATTATTATTTTGTTTCTGTTTATTTTAATGTCTGTATTTTAATAGCATACAGATGGATGGATGGTATCCTTGAAGTGACTGGATTGACCTTGAAGGAGCTGGGGGTGGTGACGACTGACAGGGAGCTCGAAGTCACGAAGAGTCGGAAACGACTGAACAAATGAACAACAACAACAAATTTTAATAGCAGCATGACCTGTGTGTTTTAACTCTGAAGTATATCCACCTCAAGCCATGATGAGTGGTGGGTAAAAAAACCCATTATTAACACTATTATTATTGTTGGTATTATTGTTGTTATTATTAGTAGTACCACTACTAACGCCAGCCTCTATTGGCAAATATCTTCAGCAAGCATGTCTAGAACATACTCAGAATTCCAGTAGCAATTTATATCACTGTTAAGAGAGCATAGTACACATATTGATGCGAAACTTAGCACTCTGTAAACAACAAATTATATCATCATCATCATTTAATTACTTATTAATCGCCCTTCATCCAAGATGCTCTAGGCGATTTACAAGCTAAAATTGTAAAGGATAAAAATACATACATACAGATATTGATAAAATTAACAAAGATCAAAAGCTCTAGTAAAAAGCCAAGTCTTAAGTGCGAGAGTAAAAGGCCCTAAGTCACGCATGGCTCTCATGTAGGGCGGCAAGGAATTCCACAAGGCAGGGGCAGAAATAGAGAAAGTCCATCTGCGCCTGGTACTTTCCAAGTGCACTTCTCTAGGACCCAGTACATAGAGTAAGTTGTGTTGGGCTGGTCGTTGCACCCTCCGATGATGGGAGAAGGAGAGGCGGTCCCTAAGGTACGATGGACCCTGGCCGTAAAGAATTTTAAAGGTCAGAACTAACATCTTATACAGGCCCCAGTACTCAGTTGGAAGCCAATGCAAATGCCACAACACTGGTATTATATGGCATTTCATGGGCGTTCTTGTGAGTAACCTGGCTGCTGCATTCTGAACAATACGGAGCTTTCGGGTCGTAGACATCAGAAGGCGTTGCAATAGTCCAGCCTAGATGTGACCGTGGCATGGATGACTGTTGCCAGAGCCTCATCAGATAGGTAAGGTGCCAGTTGCCATGCTTGTCGTAGATAGAAAAAGGCCTGTTTGCTGGCAGCAGCGACCTGAGCTTCCATTGTCAGTTGCGAATCCAGGAGGACACCCAAGCTCTTAACGGTAGGCGAAGGAGATAGGGCAGCACCATCGAATCATAGAATCAAAGAGTTGGAAGAGATCTCATGGGCCACCATCCAGTCCAACCCCATTCTGCCAAGAAGCAGGAATATTGCATTCAAATCACCCCTGACAGATGGCCATCCAGCCTCTGTTTAAAAGCTCCCAAAGAAGGAGCCTCCACCACACTCCGGGGCAGAGAGTTCCACTGCTGAACGGCTCTCACAGTCAGGAAGTTCTTCCTCATGTTCAGATGGAATCTCCTCTCTTGTAGTTTGAAGCCATTGTTCCGTGTCCTAGTCTCCAGGGAAGCAGAAAACAAGCTTGCTCCCTCCTCCCTGTGGCTTCCTCTCACATATTTATACATGGCCCTCATCATGTCTCCTCTCAGCCTTCTCTTCTTCAGGGTAAACATGTCCAGCTCCTTAAGCCACTCCTCATAGGGCTTGTTCTCCAGACCCTTGAAAGTGGGTAGCAAATGGGTCAGACCAATCGAGCGGCCATGCCAGAGAACCTCAGTCTTCGCCGGGTTCACCTTCAGTCTGCTAGCACGTAGCCAGTTCGACAGAGCCTCCAGACATAAGGTGAAATTGTCTGGTATTGACGTTGCTCCAGGCTCCAAGCGCAGAAGGAGTTGGGTGTCTTCCGCATATTGGTAGCAGTCTAGGCCAAAACTCTGAGCCAAACTAGCAAGGGGTCTAACATAGATGTTGAAGAGAAGAAGGGAGAGAATTGCACCTTGGGGTACCCCACATAGGAGGGGAGATCTTTCAGAGATTTGATCCATATACTCCACGCATTGACTCCAGTTTCAAGTGTGAAGGAGCAATATGTTATAAAAAGCATTGAATATGGTACATGAAGCATGGCTGCTCCTGAAAAGCCTTTGGAAGCTGCAGCTATTGCAAAAAAAGCAACAGCCACATACCTATTAGGAGTGCCTTTGCAAGACACTGCAATGCAAATTTTGCAAGCATTGCCCTGGCTCCCAAGCTCAGTTCAAGGTGACCTACAACATGCTAAATGACATATACTGTCATAATTGTAAATATGGAAGGTCCTTTAAAGGGCAATGGAAGAAACTAACCTCTTCAGCCGTCCTGATGGCCACGTTATGCTGGGGAAGAACGTCCGGACCAGCAGAACTCCTGTCGAAACAGAAACCAGAACTGAGAAACGGGGAATGCAATATGCAACATCTAGGGTTCAGTTCCTGCATCCGACTACAGAGATTAGAACTTTTCTGTGTAATTTTTCCCCGCACGCAGAAACCTACCCCATCAAGAAAGCATCCGTGCCATTGCCTCGATGCTATGAGATCATGGGAATTGTAGTGTTGGTGGTGCCTCACCAAACTACAAAACCCACCCCCATGATTGCAAAGCATTGAGCCATGACAATTCAAGTGGTGTCAAACTGGATTAATTCTATAACGTGGATGCACTCCACATCTTAGGCCTGATATCTTCCCCATGGGCACCCTTGATCCACAGAATGAGAGATTGTAGTGGGAAAACAAACATTTAATTCACTATAGTGTGAAATAAAACAATCTGAATCTTTTACAATATAAATCTGGTTATCTATCTATCTATCTATCTATCTATCTATCTATCTATCTATCTATCTATCTAGTGGAAGTCAAAGTTTGTATGTTAGTAGCAATGGATCTCCAAAACACTCCAACTTCTAGATGGCACTGTAACTCCCACCAATGACGGGAACTGGACCAAGCTTGGCACACAGATACCCCCCCCATGGTGATCAGATCATGATATGAATAAACATAACTGTCAGCTCACAACAGCTGGCTCAATGATGACACGAGACTTCCATCGTAGTCAAACAAAGATCTTTACTGTCAGATACTCAGACACAGAAAAGCTGGGATTGTCTGGTCGCAGCAGACACTCCCTTATATATGCTCCCACCAGTTCAAAACGTGAGCTCCCGCCAAACCCAATACCCCGTGCAAAGCTTCCCGCCACCAGACAACTGCTTTCTTCCAAGGTCACCAGCTGCAGATTCCTTATCAGGGTAGAACGTCAGGATTCTAGTTTTCGGCGCCAAAATCTGGGCTCCGGAAACTGGATCCTGACAGAAAATACTGGAGGGGCCTGGGGGGAACTGACCATAGAATCTGGGACTTATAGTTCACCCATATCCAGAGAGTATTCTGAACCCAACCAATGATGAATCTGGACCACACTTGACAAGCAAACCAGACATGTTCAACTTCAAATATTGGCAGGATTCGCAGGGGATTGACTTTAGAAGTTGGGAGTTATAGTTCCTCCACATCCACAGAGCACTGTGCACCAAGCTGATGATGGATCTTGACCAAACTTGGAACAAATATCCAATATAACCAACTTTAAATACTTGAGGGATTTGGGGAGATTGACCCAACATGATGGGAGTTATTTATTTATTTATTTATTTATTTCTTGCACTTATTAACCGCCACTCTCAGCCCTAGGGCGACTCAATTATACTTCACCCACACGCAGACAGCATCCCCTAATATCAGCCTCATTCGATGTATCTGGAATTGTCTAATTTTGAAGGGCTTGTTGCACCCGATCACCACTGGGACTGCCTTGACTGGTTTGTGCCACAATCTATGCAGTTCGAACTTTAAATCCTAATATTGTGTCATCTTTTCCAGTTGTTTCTCTTCAATCCTGCTGTCGTCTGGTATTGCAACATCGACAATCCACACTCTGTTTTTTAACACGAGGTCAGAAGTCTTGTGCTCCAAAATTCTGTCTGTCTGAATTCAGAAGTCCCAGAGTAGCTTGACATGTTCATTCTCTGTAACATTTTCCAGCATTATTATTATTATTATTATTATTATTATTATTATTATTGACACAAAAGCGCAGTATGTCACAGCAAACAAGATCTCTATGCTGGATTTCGTATCACAAAATCACACTTCCCAAGCGTCTATGACTGTGTGATGTATTTTCGAATGATGTGCACAGGTCCAAGTCAGGTGGCCTTTTGCAGTTGAGAGATCGTGATTTTGTCAATGTTTATTGTCTCAAAATGCCGTCTGAGATCTTTTGGCACCGCATCCCATGTGTCCATGACCACTGGGACCACCTGGACTGGTTTATGCCAGAGCCTTTGCTGTTCAATTTTGAGGTCCTGATAACAGCTGTTTTTCCTGTTTTTCCTCAATGCAGCTGTCACCCAGTATGGAGACATCAATAATCCAGACTTTTTTCTTTTCCACAATTGTGATGTCTGGCATGTTGTTTTCCAAAACTTTGTCAGTCTGGATTCAAAAGTCCCAGAGTATTTTTGCATGTTCATTTTCCACGACCTTTGCAGGTTTGTGATCCCTTTACCAGTTCTTTACTACTGGCAGGTGGTCCTTGTGACATAAGTTCCAGTGACTCATCTGGGCCACAGAGTTGTGCCTCTGTTTGTAGTCCATCTGTGCGATTTTCTTGCAGCTGAGGAGATGGTCCATGGTTTCATCAGCTTCCTTGCACAGTCTGCATTTTGGGTCATCCGCTGATTTTTTCAATCCTGGCCTTAATGGCCTTGGTTCTGATGGCTTGCTCCTGGGCTGCAGGAATCAGGCCTTCTTCTGTCTCCTTCTTCTGGGTTCCATTCGTGAGCCATCACCAGGTCTTCTCCTCGTCAACTTTTCCTTCAATCTTCTCAAGGAACTGCCCATGTAAGGCTTTGTTGTGCTAACTGTCAGCTCTGGTTGGGAGTGCAATTTTCTTGTACTGATTTTTTGTTTGCTGTGCTTTGAGAAGTTTCCGAT